AACAGCTGCAGGCTTGACCCTTGTGTGCACCTGCCAGCAAGTCAGCTGTCTGCCGGGGGATGGCATTACTGTGGTGAGTGGAGACACGGAGAGCACTGAACTAGGAAAGGGAATTGTAAGTGCAAATAGAGGCTTCTCTTGTTCGTGTGGAGCAGAGGATGGAGAAGCAGGAGACAGCATGAGATGACGGCAATCCAAGATTCCACTCATCAGACTGGTCTCCATCTTGTCTATGTTACTGAAGGGGTAACTCCAGAGGCAGCACAGCTGTGCTGGCCAGGCTGGAGGGGTCCGGGTGGAGGCCGCCAGCTGAAAACAATTCAGTTGTTTTTACCCAGGACTTACTGGCATATCTTGCCAATACATCAAACTCCGTGTACCTGAAACCGGACACCTCATTTTTGCCAACTCCGGTTTCTCCTAACTTTACTGTTTCTGACAATTACTCTGGTTTGTAAGCTTGTATCATTTTTGTGCTCCCTCTGCCACATTCCCTATATGTAAAGTATCATCAAGATTTTTTTTTTTTTTTTTTGGGACGGAGTCTCGCTCTTTCGCCCAGGCTGGAGTGCAGTGGCGCGATCTCCGCTCACTGCAAGCTCCGCCACCTCCCAGGTTCACACCATTCTCCCGCCTCAGCCTCCCGAGAAGATGGGACTACAGGTGCCCGCCAGCACGCCTCACTAATTTTTTTGTATTTTGAGTAGAGACGGGGTTTCACCGCATTAGCCAGGATAGTCTCGATCTCCTGACCTCATGATCCGCCCGCCTCGGCCTCCCAAAGTGTTGGGATTACAGGCGTGAGCCACCGCGCCTGGCCTCATCAAGATTTTAAGAACATTTTCTTAAGCAAGCACAGGTCTCATTTTGCCTTCTCCCTAGCGATATATACTGAACTCACTGTTTTATACAATTACAGTATTTCTTTCTTTCTTTCTTTTTTTTTTTTTAATTTAGAGACCGGGACTTGCTGTGTTGCCCAGGCTGGTCTTGAACTCCTGGTCTTAAGCAATCATACTGCTTTGGCCACCCAAAGCACTGCGATTACAGGCATGAACTACCACACCCAGCTCTTAAAACCACAGTATTTCTAGGTCAGTATAACACACCCGCCCCATGGACTTACAGGTGTGGCAGAAGCTTGGACTTCTGGCTTTTCTCTCTCTTACACCCAGGCAAGCTGCAGCTACTGTTTCCTCCCTTCACTACATTTTAGATTCTTTCCTTTTCATTCCTGTCATTACCATGCTAACATACATCTCTATCTACCTTACTGTTGGGCAGGTATGAGTGGCTTGCTGGCTGCTCTTCCTTGTCTTTTGATCTGTTTCTACTTAGATGACTCCTCAGTTGGGGAGAAACATTCTTCATCAATAATAGACTGTTATAGGCTGTCCCTTGTCATTTCAAACTCTAGTACCAGATACTGTTCTCTGGTTGGTTCTTATGGGCACCACTTGCTTTTCTGGCTGAATACTAAATCTAAGGTAGGAATACGGCTTTTGTCTTACTAACAGTGTTCAAGCCTTGCTGTGAGTGCACTGCTAGACGGTCAGATCTCACTGTGAGTGCACTGCTAGACGGTCAGATCTCTGAGAATTTCAGAGGGTTCCTGTATAATGTTAAGTGACTAAACTTAATACACGTAATTAAAATCAACATCTCAAGATATCGATACAGTCTCCTCTTCACTCACATATTGCGACAAAGAGTTTTTGCTGCTGCAATATCATTTGATATTGGGCTGTTCCTCTCTCTGGGGTCTGAGGGATATGTGATTGAATAGCGTAATAAGTACCTTGAAGATGGGGTGCAGTCCTGGGAGGCACCGCATGGTGGCGACAGCGATGACCTCAGCCACCAGATGTGTGTTCAGCAGGTGGTACTGGAGCTGGTGCAGTTGGAAATCTGAATTTCGGACCCAGGACTTTGCCAGGAGCCAGGCAAGTGGGGGGTCCGAGGGCAGGAACAGTGTTGGGGTTGGAGAGCTGGGGTTGGGAGGCTGAATCTGGGAGAAAGAGAAATGATTGAACTCCCATTCCGTATATGACATTCTAGTCAGCATTCTCGAGGAAACAGAGATGACTAAGTAAGATTATTGCCTTCTAGGAGGTTACAGTCTGGCAGGAGGACTGCGAACCCTCCCAGCCTGCCGCTCGCTAGCTGGAGTGCCCTGATGTCAGGTGGAGGGCAGGAGGGGCTGGAGGAAGGGGGTCCAGAAGGAGGCCCTGTTCTCTGGTTGGGCCAGATGGTGGTTGGCGCTCAGAGGGTGGCGGAATGTGAAAGAGAAGCAGGAGGTGTGAGATTATTGACAGTTCTCGTCACCTGACTGTTAGGAATAGTGAGAGAAGGCCAGGTGCGGTGGCTCACACCTGTAATCCCAGCACTTTGGGAGGCCGAGGCAGGCAGATTACTTGAGCCCAGAAGTTCAAGACCAGCCCGGGCAAGATGGCGAAACCCCATCTCTACAAAAGATACAAAAATTAGCCAGGCGTGGTGGCGCATGCCTGTGGTCCCAGCTACTGGAGGGACTGAGGTGGAGAATCGCTTGAACCCAGGAGGCGCACGTTGCAGTGAGCCAAGATCGCACTACTGTACACCAGCCTGGGTGATACAGTGAGATTATGTCTCAAAGAAAAAAAAAATTGAGAGACAAGATACTGAAGAGATGATGAGGGTTCAGAGTCAGAGGCCACAGAGAGATTAAATAGTGATTCTCAAAGTGTAGTCCTGAACTGGTAGTGTCAGCATCACTTTGGAACTTACAAAAGCGCAAACTCTCAGTTCCCACCCCAGACATACTGAATCTGGTGGTGGGATCTAGAAATCTGCATTTCAACAAGCACTTCAGGTGATTCTGATGCACACTGAAGTTTGAGGACCATTGGATACAGGATGAGAACTCCAAGAGGCCATTTTGACTCTTGAACAAGTACTTCTAGTTGGATGAGGCAGGGGAGACAAGAGCAGGGGAGACGAGAGTACAGGCAAATAGTGACATGAAGGCAAGTCTCACTGAGTGAGGATGGGGTTTGGGAGCCAAGAGCCGGGGGCTGGGTCCCTGGGAGCAGAGGTTGAGGTGAACAGAGCGCAGCGTTGCCGGAGAGGCCCAGGGCCCTTACCTGGATGACCATGGGCAGCAGTTTCCCGTTAGGCTCCATCTTCAGCATGACGAGGGGGGCAGCCAGGTACTGCTTCTCTCCTCGGATCACGTTGGCTGGAATTCCATCCAGAAGGATGAAGTCAGCTTCAAACAGGGAACCATTCTGGGGACAGGAGGGATGTATCCATTTTGAGAGTTCAAAGTCTACCCCCAGGGGGCCAGGGCAAAGGGCAAGAGATTTAGTCTGGCTTCTTGCCGTTCTCCTGTGTCAGTACCGGAGTCCTGCTGGGAGAACTAGAGCCCCTGGTCCAGTTCCTGTCATCTTAAAGTGAAGAAACAGTCTGGTGAGGATAGATGTCTTGTGCGTGGATGTGGTGGCAGATCTGGGTTTGGAACCAGGCCTGCTCAATCCAGTTGGCATCACAGGCATTGTAAACTGATCCCCTGTCAAATGGCCAGGCACCTTTCCGATCATTCCTGAATGGTGTGCACTCTGGTTTTGGCTCCTATCAGCTCAGCAAATGCTCTTTTCTTCCCTATTCAAATCTCACCTCCTCTGCCAAATATTCCAGAGAGCTTCTCCTCGCTGCCCCTGCCACCACATACAGCACACACGTGCACACGCACACATTTTGCCTAGGCTTGTCCTCAGGACAGTCCATCGCTTCCAAACCCCGCTCTCTTTGTCTAGAAAGCCGCCCAGATTCTCTGCACCTGATGGCACTTCCTCACTTTTCTCCCTGCCCGTGAACACTGGAGTCCAAAACACTGCGGCCAGGGCATGTCACTGTTCCTGCTAACATCTCCAGCCCCTCGCTGTGTGCTGGGGATCCATTCTGTTTTCCCCTTCATGCTGGGAGCTCCTCATAGTTTTTTCCGCTACATATTTTATTTCTGTATTTTTCCAGCACAGGACTGCACCAAGGGGCAGCGCAGTACTGCAGTCTGCCTTCCTCTGACTCAGTTTGGTTTCTCTCTGTCCGTTCTCACCACACTACTAAGGAGAGAACAGTGCCAGGCAGGGGAAGGAGAGGTACCTGAAGTTCTTTCTCCAGTTGAGACCGAAGCTCTTCCATCCCCGAGGGCAGCGCTAGCCTGGAGGGCAGAGAGGTTGAGCGTCTCAACAGCATGGGGTTGGCACCATTGACGAACTGGTAGCCGAACAGCTCATCATCCTGCCAGCACTGGTGAACCTTCTCTGTGGGGGGCGGTGGAAGGAGGATATATGTACCACAGCCTGCATATCCCTCCTCCAGAGTCAACCCCAGGGCTTCAGGTATATGACCCACCCTGAACCCAGCTTCTGAGTTTTCATTCTCAAGGCCTCTCTGAGTTGACCAGATATGATAAGGTCTCTTCTTGCAAAGAGTTACAGGGGACTGTGGAGTGTGATGAGTCATCCAGAGGGGCCATTAAAGGATTATGGAGACCTGGGGGAACCACTGACCAGCCAGGGCACTCTTCTGGCCCCAGAAGATCTGATCAAAGTCTTCTAGGCAGTTCCAGGAGCTCAGGAGGGTGTAAACACGTTTGAGGGCCATCTCCAGAGCCCTACGACAGGTATTGAGGCTTAACTCATCAGCTGATCCCTCAGTTCCTCACCATCTGCCATCATTCTTGGACCTCCCAGCCCTTATTTCACTCCTAGGTCCAGCCTTTTTCTCACCCTGCCTTCAGTGTCCATTCAAAGTCCAGCCTCTTCTCCTCATGGAATCTCATATTTGGAGGTAGATCATCCTTACGCTCTGCAGCGATGGTCAGGGGTAACCCTTCCTTCCAGGTGGCCCAGCTAGGAGTTGGGGACAAAGCTTCAGGAAGGATGTCATGGTCAGTGATGGGGGCAGGGGCAGGGAAGGGGTGGGATAGTGGTGGCAGGGGGAGTTTAAGGGGTGGGTGGTCACCAGTAGATCTGCTGTCTGTCTTTCAGTTCCTTCTCTCGATGCTTCTGGAACACATCCAAGGCATTGTCTCCTGGCAGGCGGGCTGGGGAGACATCAGGACAATTGGCCTCACGGCTCTGTCTGGTCCTATGCCCACCTCTTGTCCTCATCTCCCTGTGGGTAGCCGTATTCCATGTTTTCAGCCATGCACTGTTGCGTTTATCTTTGGCTTTGCCTCATTTGATTATCCCCCAGACACATTTTTCCCATCTTTGCCAACTTTGCACCCCTGCTTTCTCTTATTTCAGCCCTCGTCCTTCGCCTATAGATAAAAACCTCCTGTTTGCCACCATTTCTTGCTCCTTCTCTCATCTTCCCCTACCTAGCCTTACTTCATCAATATCTATAGTTGGAAAAAAATCACCTTAATTAAGGTGACGAAATCTTAGTCACCTCTACACCTACGCCTACTGTCTACTACAAATTGCTTTGATTAATTTCACATCTTAAACCTCACCTGCCACACCTTCACCTGTTCTCAAAAGATTCTACATTTGCCTTTTTTTTTTTTTTTAACCTCACCTTTCTGGATTTACTATCATAGTTTGTATCTATTGACTTATTCTGGCTCTTTTCTGCATTTACACTCACCTGTCTCAAAGTGATAGATTTGATGTTCCATCCCTACCACCCTCACTCGTCTCTGGATTCATCTCTCTTTTACTCGTTACCAGTGGTTAAAAATTCAGTGTTTGCCATCCTCATCCCTCCCTGCCTCCTGCTGGCCAGTGCGCTGCTTGTCTTTCGCGGGTGTCTTCCGTGTTATTCCAACCAAACCAGCTCTCCAGCATCCTCTGTTTGCTTCCCTTAGCTGTCTGCTCTCACGGGTCACCCACCCCCTCCTGTTCCATGTGGTCCCCTCACCTGACTTCTGAGTCACCTCGACATCTCCTTCCTGCGTTTACTTTGCATCTCTGTTTTCCTGGATCGCTGCAACTCCCACTTTCTGTCTTTGCCTTCTTGGAAGATGGGATCTCCAGATCACTTACTCCCTGCCTCCAGCCTCAAGTGCAGTCTCTCTTAGCCGGTGTACAACTTTGGGAATTCATAACTCCTTCCCGTTTCCTGTCCAGCACCCTGGGTTCCCTACACTTCGCTTGCGCTGGGCCCATACATCCTCTAAGTCCGCTCCGACCGTCATTAGCTCTGTCCTCCTAGCCCCGCAGCAGTTCCCGGGACCTTGCGCCTCCTTCCCAGACGCCGCCTTCTCACCGGTGCCCTCGGGCAGGCTCAGGATGTCCTCGCCCTGCACCCAGCGGTAGCACGGGAAGGCCGCCTCCGCGCAGGCTCCAGGGCCCTGCACCGTGATGCGGTCGCAGAACCATGCGTCGTCCACCAGCCAGTGGTGTTTGCGCAGCCTCACGAACTGCAGGAGCCCCAAGTCCTCTGCAACGTCACGATCAAACTCCTCCTCCTGTGCGGGCCAGACCCAGGCCAGACTTAGTAGGAGGGACCCGACCGACGCCGTTTCGAGGACGGAGCCGCTCTCCTGTGCAACCTCAGTTTCTCAGGGCCGCCAAAGACAGCATCGCCTCGTTCCCGCCCACGCAAGATCTGCTCTTTGGGTCTCAGACGTCCGGAGTCAGGTGGAGAACGAGGGCCCGCAGTGCCTGGAGCTGATGCTGGAGCAGCATCGCCCCCGTGGGTCCCATTAACAGAGCTCTCCCCGCGCCGGTGCTTGGAGGAGCTTCACGTCTGGCCCCTCGCCTTATACTTACTTTGGCTCTGGGTCAGTGGGAGAAGGAACTGGAGGC